CCCCCAAAAATTCGGTTCGAACGGCTAGTAGAATTCGGGCACTCGGGTCGGGTCGGGCAAAATTCGGGCAACGGTCAAAAAAATAGCCGTTGGGATTTGAATTTTTGGGCACAAATCGGGCGGCAGTCAGGTCGAACAAAAAAATCCATTAGATTCAAATTTCGGGCTAACGGTCAAAAAAATTCGGGCTAACGATCAAAAAAATTCGGGCAAATTCGGGTTACGCCGGAAAATTTAAAAAAAAAATCCGGCGGGCGGCGAGATCGACTTCTCCACCGGCGGCAGGCAGCCGTAATTGATTTTTTTTGGGCTGTCCGAGCATGGCACCTGCCCGCCGTGCCCGAAAATTTTCAGGCACCGAGCATGCCCGCCGCCCAAAGTTACACCACTGTACTTATACAAACATACTCGTGACACCACCAACCCTCTTTCTAGCAATGAAGACTAAGTGGACAAAATTTTTTTAAACGGTAACAGATTAGCGTGGTGAATTTATGGTCGCAGTTTTAAATATTGAGTTATTTTCTTGGGATATTAAATGTAAAGGTTTGTTTTCTGTCAGTATAGTATTTAATTTAGGAGAGTTTGAACCACACTCTTATGTATCATTACTTTAGCACATTCGATGTGGTCGAGTGATTCGCTTTTCATTAAGACCTTCAAGAGGATCTTTTGGTGACGATTTAGGGAAATGCTAACGTTGATTATCCCTTTTTCCCAATTTTTCTTTTAAGAAAAAATAAAAAAGAGTAAATATGTTGTAACTTCTATAAAAAAAAATAAAGTGTCGTGATTAGATATGTCTAACCCATAAAAAAAAAATGTTTCTTGTTTTTTCATTTTTCATTTCATTCGTTTCCCAAATACATCTCATGTTGTAACACCGACGCGTGCTTCCAAATTTTAGACCATCTATCTATCGATGAAGCTCTACAATCAAATATTTTGGAACTAGTTTTAATAGCATCCTAACTATCCCCATCCATAGTCTGAATTGGCTAATTCAAAATGGGTTCTTTTTTATAAGAAAGAAAGAATTTTTTTTTTCCCTAGAAAAAGGAAAAATGTCATCCCTAATTGGGTCCCAATGAATGCAAATCATTGTGCCTTGTCCACTAACGTTGCCAAAAGGTTGTTCAAAAACCAAACAAGCGAAAATAAAGTAAAAATAACAGTCCAAAAGTTGCTCCTTTAGTACCTTTTTATTACATTTGTACATTACATGCAATTAAAGCAATAGAAGGAAAAAAGAATAACTAAACATAGGGATTTTAATTGGGTCCCATAAGAGTTATACAAATGTTCTACGTGACGCAATAATTATGATCACAGTTCAAGGAGAGGACAAAGTGCTCTCAAGTTTCAGCTTGTGAGGGTGCACCCCTCACGTGTGCAATGTGAGAAACTCCTTTTTCTTCTTTTTTTCTCATTTCTCTGTCTTTTCATGTCGGCAGATTTTTTTTTTGGGTATCATTGTATGAGGTTGCCTTAAAAAAAAAAAAACAAAAAAAAAAACAAAAAAAAAACAAAAAAAACTTTTCTTCTGCGGAAACAAAAGCCTTATTTACGGGTCCCCTGTTCGTTTCACCCAAATGGGCATCCTGCTCTTCATTCTTACAGTGGGAAAGTTAACTATGGTGTCCTCTTCAGCCACCCACCTGCATTTGGAAGAATTGAAACTATATATTATACTCATATAATATAGTACCTAAAATTTGTATATATTTTTTTTAAGGTGGTCAAGGTTTAGTAGAGTTTTTAGGCAACCAACAAAATATTGCTTGCATTACTTGTAACAATCTAATATATATAGCAACCCTATTAAAGCATAAGGCAGGCCTAGCAAAAACCTTAAATCACAATAGGGATTTCTTTTAGATTATTGAGAATATAGCATATATCTCTCTAATTCTAAAACTTTTACCGTGACATTCATTCTTTTAAGACAAAATAATAAATTAATAACCCGTGGGCATTGGTGGGTTGAAGCTTGTAAACCAAGAATCCAATCTGTACATTCCTAATTCCTTACTGTATAAGCAGATCTATTGTTTCAAGGAAAGTTGGTCAAAGCATGGCTATTTGGAAGTAGAAACCAAAGTCAAATGGTGCTTTTTCCCATGGCAAATGGAATTTCTAGCCGCAAACCACAATGCCCACTAGAAATTTATGAATAAAGCCTAGCCGTTAAGGACCCTTATTTATTTATTTGACATCTTTATATCGTATTTTTTACTTTGTATATGTTGGAATAGACGCTATATTTGACCATAACATAGGCCAAGGTATTATAACCTTCTGCAAAATCACTTGATCAGTTAAAAAGGGCATGGATTATCATACTAATATCATACTAAAATCTTTGTCTCTTGTAAGCTCAATTATGCATTTTCAGATGGTTTTCTTCGTACAAGTAGCTAGTTACAAGGGACCCAAATGGCTTACAAGTAAGTTGCTGTCTTATTTAATGATATCATCTCTTTATCCTATTAATTAAGTTTGGAATATATGACACGAATTAAAAATACATTGGTTTGTAATAAAAGCATGATTGGAAGGTATATAGTTTTAGGCACAAAAAGGATATATGCCTTCTAAAAGCAACTTATATCGTCTGCAAAAACATAGCAAAAAAGTTTGATACCTTTTGTTATGTTTGTTTTGTCTTTGCTCGTCTTGAATAAGAGAAGGAATCAATGCAAGAGACTAGGCATAACAACTTTCGAAAGGGACTTGATTTAATTTCTCCAAACAAGTAATAGAAAAAAAGTTCATTGAGAAGTGGCAATCACTTGATGTGTATGTGAGCGCCGTGGAAAGCTTGTCATGGACAGAACAAGTTCTTGCTCTATTATTGCATCTATCTCTTCATATTTTATTTAAAAAAAAAAAAAAAAAAAAAACAATGTACATCGTCATATTTTTATTTCTAGATTCTAGTATTTATGTTTGCTTCTTGAAAGCATGTGCCTAACTTTGTATGGCAATGAAAAATCAACACCAATAATGGACAGAACTTCCATACTCGAGAATAAATAAACAAAGACTATTTTTTCACTTTTTGTTGTTTACCTGAATTGAGTGACAAAGTGGTGTAGAAATATGGAAGCTTCCAATCTGGCCAAGTCAAGCCCGGGGCATAGCCTCTGTCCTCCTCCAAAAGGGGTGAAGTTACAATTGCTTGTGTCTTTTTCCTGCGAGTTCCCAAAATGCCCCTTTCATTATTTAAAGCTTAAAAAACCAGAACCATAAATCACAAGGGAAAAAAAAATTAAAAAAAAAAATCAAAATTCTATGATAGGATATAAAAAAGACCATATTGGTAGGGCATTTGTTTTAAGCCAGTCAAATTTTGCATTTTTTATTATTATTATTTTGATAACATATAAGGTTACACATTATCGATAAAGATATCCTACTAATAATTGTAGAAAACTACGTAAAAAAAAACATATAAGAGCAAAAATTAATGAAATTTAGTCCTATCCATACTTGCCACCTCCATGGATTGAACTCGTACGGCCAGTCATAGTTACTTTCATCAAGATGAACCGATCTAAAATATGCAAAAGCACACCACCCTTTTGGTATTAGATGCCCTTTTATCTCAACATCCCTCATGGCCTTTCGCATCACCCCAACAATAACATTTCCCATCCTTAATGTCTCTGTAATCACCTGTAGTTTTCATTTTAAACGGTACATATGTTATTATGTTATAGCTTTGTCAAGTATGATTGTTTTAATCTGTATGGTTAAAAAAAAAAAAAAAACTTACTGTTTGTGTGAATGGTAAAGAAAAGTAATCACTCCAACACAAAGGCTCCCCTAGTTGTTCCTTGAGTCTTTTCAACTTCATGTTCTCCTCCTGAGGTAATTGTTTAGAGCTCAATTATCAAAGAGCTATACAATAATAATAAGCAAGTACAATACTACTGATATCCCTGTAGTTAACTAATTCCTTTCCATAAATAAAAATTAGTATAAAAGATCTTGTACTATGTTTGTCCCTCTCACTAGCATAACTGATCATAGCCCATATGAATGTTGTGGAAAAAAACCATAGCAAGAGTTTAATAGGAGCAAATATTTTAGCATTTCCCCACTTGCACCTAGTACCTACTATGACAAGCACAAATGAGAAGAAACCACTTAAAAAAACGACAAGACTTTGACGGTAAAAGTGGTCAAAAAATTGGACTACAAATGTCACAAAGTTCCAAAACAAGGACCAGAGGCATTGAAAAAGTTGGCTGGCTGACCAGGATTTTGTGCAGCTGAATCCAATTAACTTATTGTAATTAAGAGCACTAAAGGGTGATAATCATGAAAAAATGAAGTTGGGGTCTTATTTTATCTTAAACTAGTATTAGTGACATGGTTTTGATTATATTATATTATATTAATCCTCTAGGGAAATAGAAATCTAGTGCATACCATTAAATGTTGTAGGGCAGCAGGGCAGTCTGAGAGATATTTTACTGCAAGAGTCAAAAGAACAGGAACTGAATCCTCTCCTGGAATCATCATATCAATCATGTTATCCGCTATTAGATCTTCTGTTAATTGCCCACTTGAGTCATTAAGCAGAACATCTATTACATCACTTGGAACCTTGGAGATTTCACTGTTTTTCCTATGTTGAATAATCTTCTTCACTAGCTTAACCATTTTCTTCTTTGCCTGAAACAAGAATCTCACCAAATAGTTAATGACCCATGAAATGTTATTTATATGTAAAAGAGAGTTAAAAAAGAGTGGAGATAATAGATTATTTTATGTGCAACTTGCCTGCAATGATCGATAAAGCCTAGTTCCAGGGAAGTTTATTGGTAATGACATTAGGCCTGCAATGAATTCTTGAAACTGTTTCTTTAGGGACTCCATTTCTTCACCAGGATCCAAGTTAATCAATGCCTTAACAAGTACTTGAAAGGCAATCTGAGGGACAAAAAGTGGCCTTACATGCCTTAGTAACTTTTGAAAAGTACCCCAAGACATAATAATTATGAATCTAATTTCACAGACAATATGATTCAGCTCAACTTATTGTGAACCCCATAACAACTGGAACACTTTTCTCACTAGCAAATCATCTTCAAACCTAAGTAGAAGCCAGAGACGGAATATTTCAAACACCAATGAATAGTTTTTGGACAGAGAGAGAGATTCTTTTACCAAGTCTTATATAATTACTGCTATTACTACTTACCCATCAAAGCATCTTACTTGAGGAGATGATCAGAAGGCATCTTTTGTTTTATCTCCTGTCTATTTTGAAACTCTTCCCCAAAAAATGTTGATAACTCAAATGAACCAAGTAACACTTTTTTAACCACAAATATCATAAAATAACACCAAAACTCATTCCCCTAGATCTAGGAGGGAGAGAGAGAGAGAGAGAGAGCTCACATTTTTGGTCTCATCCTGTATGTAAATGGGGCGGTCAGAGCTCCAATTTGCCATTGATTCTAGGACATACTTTTGCATGTCTCTTGTGATTTGAGCTTTGAGCAGAGGAGATTTAAAGAAGGCTCCAACAAGTCCATGGATTCTCTTTTGTAAGCTTCCATTGATGAGCAATATGGAGGACTTTCCCATCAACTCGGTGAGAGATTTCGGGTAAGAAGGCACAAAAACCTTTGCATCACTCTGCAGTATAACCTTGCTTACTTCTGCATCTGTTGAAACAATCGTTGGACTCCCAAATATGTGGGACTTAAACACCTTTCCATACCTGCCGACAAACCAGAAGGGAAAAAAAAAAACTTTTATCTTCACATATAATTATTAACTACCATTTTGGAGCTTAAACATAATGTGTTTATCTAATAATCTGACAACTTACTAAGCATAAATAGCAAGCTAGCTGGTGAAAAAAGACTTGGTAACTAAAAAGTGTTGATGATAAAGAAATATGTAGTGATCACACTTAAGTACATATTAGTTGGAAAACAAAGTGGGATTAGTATATGAAAGAAAATTATGCTTATATACATATATAAGCAGCATGAGAAAGTAAGTAGAATAATTCATATATACATACACATATATAATATGTGTATGTGTGTGTGTATAATACTTACATGCGGCGACGTTTATTCATGAAGGTCTCAGGGCGGTCAGAGTAAGCACAAGTGATAAACTCAATGGTTTCACCGATAAAAGGCAAACCAAGAGAGCCTAAAGGAAGTGTTACTGGACTTGTGTGGAATGATCTGAGTCCTCTTAGCCTGCTGTTGTTCCTGTAGAGAATTATGGCGGCCAAAAAAACTGCTGTTGTCATTACCAAAATCCATAAACTGTCCATTTTTGGATTTGATTTGTTTTCCCTCCACGCATGCAAAAAAAAAAAAAAGAAAAAAAAAACACACACACACACACGCAAACAGTACTATATCACACGTTTTCCTCTCTGTCTCTCTGTTATAAGGTCTCTAATGGTACTACTCATTTAAACATGATCAATCATAGTAGCAATGAGAACTTTTTTAAGGGGGGGATGGAAATAATGAATGTTGCATGTGTACAAACACACACACGCGTGTGGGAAAGAGAGAGAGAGAGAGAGAGAGAGAGAGAGAGAGAGAGAGAGAAGCAAGATAGAGAAATGATGAGAGAGAAACTAATGCACAATACAGAGTATGTGTTGGGACTGACGAGCGTATTAAGCTACAAAGACTTGCTTTTAAGTTTCTTATATAAGAAACTTTTCCAAGCATTGACTTGTCCGGATCCGGGTCTGACCCGGTTAGAATAAAACTTTTCTTTTTTCTTCATTATAATTCATTTTAATGTGTACTGCTTTTTTTTTTTCGTTTTCATAGGTTTGGATGGTATGCAGGCAGTCAAAAATGTATATATATTAAATACAAATGGATATACATACATATTCATATTTATATTCTCTGTTCTCACCAAACCAATGACCCACTTTCATTGAAGTTTTGTGCCATGAAAAAAAATAAATGAGCAGAAGCAGCAGAAAGAGCTCAAAAAAAAGAAAAAAAACATATGTATATGTAATATATATAACGTTTCGATTGGGTATTATGATAAGGTTGTTACATATATACAAAAGATGCAGGGCATACATATATATATATATATATATATTGCAGAGAGAAGTCCCCACAAATTCCATGATTGATCTTGGTTGTGGCATTAGAGTGGATTTTGAAGGCGGTCCCATTTGGCCGTAGCAGCTGAAAGACTCCTCGTGCGTTCATGTGAGACTTAATAACTCCATCCACACTCCATGATCACCATCATCATCATCATCATCATCATCATCATCATTCCTTGCGCTTCCTCGACTTTTGTTCTTCTATCTCTCTCTCTCTCTCTCTCTCTCTCTCTAGCCAAACCTCTCATGTCACATTCAATCCCATCCTTTGTGACTTTTATATATTATGGTAGAGGCCACATGTGCCTACCCTTCTCTTTTTACCAAAAATTCCTTTTCTTATTATATAAACCCATCCTTTAATATCATAAATAAAGATAATAGAGCAATGGACAACAATTTCTGTATTTTGTAATGGAATAAGCACAAGCAAAGGTTCCCGCCCCGAGTATTGAAAAAGCTAAGAAAAGGAAATCAAAACTAAGACGACCCTTTTGGCTTTTCCAAGTCTTAATTTAAGTTGTTATACATTATATTCACGTACCAAGGGACTAATGCTGCCACGTGACATAACAAATGATAATTCATTGTAAAGTCTTATATTATTCAGAGCTATTCCTCAATTTTCTCTGTTCAAACATTCTAACTTGTAATTAGGTGCCTGTTCAAATGAACCCTTATAGCCAATATCATCCTTTAATCAAAATCTTTGAACCTTTATGTAAAGCATATTGTGGACTTCATTAGTTAATTCCACTATGCCTTGAGAATCCTATAGAATATGTTTGGATATACTTTTTATATATTTATTTGAAAGCATGAACTGTAGGGACATCAGGAAGAATAGTAAATGCATGTGGTTTTGGAAAGGAGAAAAATATAATATATATATATATATA